CCTCCTTGGCCCCCCTCCCCCCACCGTCCAGGACATCACCAGCCCCGTCCCCACCGCGGGTGCCCGCCGTCGGAGCTCAGGCCGTGCGCTGAGCCCTGTTCTCTAACGTGTCTTCTGTCCTCCTGCAGTGCTGTTCCTTTGAGTGTCAGGTGAGTGTGGGGCCCCGCCCACCTCTGGGGACACCCAGGATGCTACCTCGGGCTGACCTTTCTCTCCCGTCTTGCAGCCCGCCAGAGGACCTCCCGGACCACGGGGTGACCCTGGGTACGAGGTGAGTGGTCGCAGGCCCCCTGGAGGGAGAGAAGTGTGGAGTATACAGCACTGGACAAATGTCCCTGCAACCTGGAGCCCCTGGTGTTGGGAACGTGGTGGGACCCCGGGCAGCTGTCCTGAGCCCCCCCACCGAGCACCCACTCACACTAGGTGTGGGGACAGAGAAGGAGCCCCTCCCTGAGCAGGTGTCCCCGACCATGGGGAGAGAGTCCAGTGACCCTGTGGCCGATGCCAGGGGCGAGTCTGGCCAGCTGGCCTCCCAGTCTGACAGCTGGCCTCCCCATGGCAGAGGGGTGAGCATTCGCTGGTGCTTTGCTCCCGGAGGTCCACCTTCTTGTGGGCTGGGCTGCAAACGTGGGGCCCAAGGCCAGGTGTGGCCAACACTTACAACTTTGACCGCCCATCAGAGTCCAGGGTTCTGGCACTCCTAAAAATGTTAGATTGCATGGCCATGCAGCCATATGGGCACCACCCTCCGGAGCTGAGCCGGGCCCCCTCTCCGGCCCAGGAGCCCCGCACAGCAGCAGGAATGGGGTGGGGTGCTGGAGACAAATGTTCAGGGGCCAGCCGGGCGGCATGGGGCAGCACAGGGTCCGGTGGGCTCTGTGGGAGGGGGTGTGTGCCCCTGACCTTGCAGACCCCGGGTCAGGCCACAGGTGAGAGGGAAGGAGCCTGAAAACCCTGAAGGCCGATGGAATATCTTCTTAATCCTTTTCTTGTGAGCAAGTTGGGGGTCCTTTCCGTCAGGTTTTTAGAAATAAACAAAAATCTTCCCCAACCTTGACCTGCTCTGTGTTGCAGGGAGAACGTGGGAAGCCAGGTCTCCCAGGAGAGAAAGGAGAAGCCGGAGAACCTGTGAGTGCCAAGCACCTGACCTCAGGGGTGGTGGGTGCTGACAACCTGAGGCTGAGAGAGGAGCCGGACTGTGGAAACTTCTAGAAGCATGGCTGGTTTCTGGGCACCATGGTCCTGTGGCCTGACCCTGAGAGGACACGGCCCCAAGGGCAGAGAACGCCAGAAGATGCTGCACAACCATTCCTTCCAGTACATTCTGCCCGGGCCTCCACTCGGGCCCAGCTCGTGCCCCTCTCCTCCTAGGGGGCATCCTAGACCTTCCCCATCCACCCTCCTCCTGGGCCCTGATCTCCCCTCTCCTCCCTGGACTCCACTGAAGAGCCCCCAGGACTGGGAGGAGGAGCCTTCACATCGGGGCTGCTCTCTGGGACTCGGGCCAGTGGTCAGCCAGCCCGGTCTCTCTGGCTGACCAGGCCTGAGCAGAGTGGGGGTCAAGACCGACTGGGGGGGTCGCTATGGCTGCCCTCAGGGCTGCCTAACATACCCCCTCCGCTGTGTTCCAGGGAAGGCCTGGGGACCTCGGACCGGTCGGCTACCAGGGGATGAAGGTACGTCTCCCCCTCCTCCTCCAGAGCTGCCGGCCTGTCCTGGGGCCCAGTGGAACACGTCCGGGCTCAGCCCAGGGCATCGGGCCCCAGGACACCAGTGACGCCCTCTTCCCTCCTCTGTCTGCTTTTTAGGGAGAAAAAGGGAGCCGAGGGGAGAAGGTGAGTAAAGCAGGGCTTTGGGGCACAGAGCCACCCCCCTCGTGCACAGGAGCACGACACCGCCCATCTCCAGCGTGTCCGAGCTGTGACAAGCTGTGGGGGACCCATCCTGGGACCCATCCCAATTCCCTGGGAACTCGCCCCGTATTGGGGGACCACCCCCCTCACTCTCCCTTCCTGTCTCCACAGGGCTCCAGGGGATCCAAGGGCTACAAGGTGAGTGTGGGGGCGGGGACGTGTCTTCTGCCCCAGAGGGGTCCTGTCTGACCTTCGTGAACCCTTCTTTGGCCTTTGTGCCTTGCAGGGAGAGAAGGGCAAGCGTGGCATCGATGGCGTGGACGGCATGAAGGTAACCCCGCCTGGCGGGAGAGCTGGTGACTGGGAGGTGGCGAGAAAGGCAGAAGCTACTTCCTGCCAAGCCCCAGGCCCCAGTGGACCCCAAGCCTCCGACCGTCGTCCTGGTGGGGCTTTCCCGGGAGGGGACGGATGAGCCAGAACGAAAGTCTTGACCTCTAAATCTGCCTTCCTCCCTCCAGGGGGAGATGGGGTACCCCGGCCTGCCAGGGTGCAAGGGCTCACCGGGATTCGACGTAAGTTGCATTCTGTCACTCACATTTTAAGGCTAAGTTCTCGTGAGCAAATACGGACTCAGCCCTTCTGGAGCTCTAAGGGGTCACGGGCAGGCTGTACCCAGCCCAGACCTGCCTTTTCAGCTTCTATTTGTGTGCAGCCCAATGACTGCTGCTGAAGGCTGAGGACTGACCTCCTACAATTTCTTGTCAGGGCGCTCAAGGACCCCCAGGGCCCAAGGGCGACGCGGGTGCCTTCGGACTGAAAGGAGAAAAGGTTGGTGACGTCGGGCAGGCCTCCCTGTGTACCCAGTATGAATCAGAAACCCTCTTGGAAGCAGATTCTCCACCCACCCTGCAAGGACCAGGCCCCCAAGTGGGCAGGCAGGAGGCCGGGGTGGAGAGAGCACAAAACCAAGCTACAACCAAGGGCAGGCACAGTCACCCAAGGGGGGCGTCCCCTGTGCCCCCTGCAGCCCCATGTCACTGAGCCTCGGATGCGCCCTGGGGTGCATCACACTGCCCGCCTGCAGCAGACGGACGAGGTGCCCTCACGGCCTAGAATCCGTCTGTTCATGTGAAAGTCACCACTTAACAGCAAACAGGAGGCAGAAAAGTAAATAATGAGGACCCAAGGTTTTGCGTCCAACTTAGAGCACAGCTTTCTGCTGTTGGTGCTTTTCCGGCGTTTTCAGCAGCAGGAAGTGCTAAGAAAGACGGAGAAGTAAGGTTGACTGAACGCGTCCTAACCATGCAGGCTTCCTGGACCGGATTTTCGGAATCCGGCCGATTGCTTTGTGGGCCCCTGGCTTTGTGGGACCTGACTTTGCCTTCGATGACTAGAAGTGGGCTTGCCCCTCTGCTTGAGGGGGACTTGAACAGCAGACGACACGGGGAAGTGGCTTCTGCAGGATTCCTGTAGAGATATGGGTGGTTGGGAAGGTTCTCAGAGTCCAAGGTGTGCTTGGTCAGGGGGTGTGGCCCGAAGTCTGGGTGAGGGAGACTGGTGCAGGGTCACTGGTGGCCCAGGACGGCCGGGCGTAGCCTCCCGCAGGCTGACCTTTCTCATCATTCCAGGGTGCGCCTGGAGCTGATGGGGAGCCTGGGAGGCCGGGGAGCACAGGGCCCCCTGGGGATGAGGTGAGTGTTCACGGAGCCCCTAAAGCAGCCGGGGGTGGGGTGCGGGGGGAACCGGGAGGGGCCCAGTCCTACTCTCCTTCTCCCCCAGGACAGATGGGGGAGGGCAGGGGAGGGCGGGAAGTAGGGAGACGGAGGGGGGCCCGGGAGGGGCCACAGCCCCGGGCCCAGTCCTACCCTTGTTCTCCCCCAGGGCGAGCCGGGGCTGCCTGGTCCCCCGGGAGAGAAGGGAGAGGCCGGCGACGAGGTGAGCACCCCACGTGATCTCCTGTCCCAACTCCAGGCCCCGAAACAGAGTTCCCATCCCAAACTGATGTTGCTTGTTCCTCTTAATCCCAGGGAAACCCGGGACCGGACGGTGCCCCTGGAGAAAGGGTGAGTGGGGTGGGGTGGCGTCTGGGCCGGCGTGGCCGGCGTGGCTGACAAGCGCCGGGGCTTCTGTCTGAGCTCAGCGGACCTCAGTCTCTGCGAGGCCGGCATGTCTGGGGGGGCTCAGCCCGTGCCCAGCTGGAGCCCCTTCCTCGATGCCGTGTCCGAGCTGCAGTCTCACCTCCGTGCGCTGTTCTCTGCACAGGGCGGCCCTGGGGAAAGAGGACCGCGGGGGACCCCAGGCGTGCGCGGCCCCAGGGGAGACCCGGTGAGTCACTGTTCATTAAGCTGAGACCCCACACCCCAGGAGGGGGCCAGAGACTGCGGTCAGGTGAGGTCAGGCCGTCAGCCTCACCGGACACATGCCACCAAGTCCCTTTGGCGTCTAGATTTCACCCACACCCGCACCTGCTGTCTCCCCAGCTCTGGAAGTGTGGCAGCCCCCCTCCCCGCCCCCGACCCCGGAGCACCTCGAGGGGTGTGAGCAGGGCGGAGAGATGGGGGGTGTGGGCCCAGATGAGGAGTGCAAGGGGCGGGGTTATCCCCTCCGCCCATCACCGATGACCAGCGTGTGCAGGGGAAACCGTCACACACACACACACACACACACACACACACACAGTCACACAGAGACACAGAGACACACAGCCACACCGGGACTCACAATGGCCATCTCGGATGCAGCACCGGGAATAGTCTGCACAGCACTGGCTCCACACCTGTCATCAAGTGCACGCCTCTCACTCAGGTGGCTGCACGGCTCCTCCCGCGTCACGATTCACTCAACTCACCATCACACATCTGGGCTCTTCCAAACACCTGCAGCCCCCCAGCAGCCCCTTAAACGTTGCAGACAGAGCTCACACTCTGGAACGGTCCTTTCTTACCACTTGAAGAGCGGGAAAGCTGAGAAGCCAGGCCCACACGGACTTCGTGGTCACAATGGCCCAGCAGGCTTGCCGAGCTGTGGCCCGCAGCGCAGCCTCCTTCCAGAGCTTTCTGTGGCCCTTGGTTCATTGGAAGGTTCTGCAGGAGCTGGAGGGCAGACACCAGAGACCGTGCCTGGTTAGAGGAGGGGAGCGCCCACCCCCACCGTTCTGGAGCCAGCAGGGAGGGATGATGGTCTTCAGACCTGGGTGAGGACCTGGCCTTCTCGCTGCAGAGCAGGGCAAGGCTTCATCTCATCCCGGGAACAGGACACCGCGGAGGCCGTGTGGTGCCTCTCGCTGTGACCACCCTGGCGAAACTGCTCCTCCTGAGGACGTGTGTCCGGGTGTCCCAGTGGGGAGAGCGAGCTTAGCCTGAGGCTGAGGTCACTGAAAGACAGATTTGCTTTCTGCCCCGTCCTTGCTCCTTGTGCACTGCCCAGAACCCCCCGGCCCCCAGGAGGGCAGGGAGGGACACTGAAGCAGGGATAGCATGGCCTGACCCCTTCCAAGCCTACCGTGCTGAGATCAGGGAATGGAGGGAAGGCCAGGCCACACCCCAGGAGGTGCCCAGAGTGAACAGAGGCCGGCAGGGGTTAGGCGGGGCTCCAGCTCCTGAGACCCATCAGTGAGCCTCACTGGACAAGCAGCTAACATCAGGGGCTGCCTCCTGAAACCCCGAGAACCTCCAGATGTCCGTGTGCCTGGCCACCATATATAAAAACCCAGGGGAAGGATGAGGCCAGGCCCACGGTGGAGGGTGGCCCTTCCTGATCTGGCCTCTGCTGGCTCAAGAGCTGCGGGACCCCCAGCCTTGCCCAGCGGCCACCCGGGCAGCTTGACCTCTCCTGGCCTCCACACTCACTGGCTCACTCCTCCCCAGGGCGAAGCTGGACCCCAGGGTGACCAGGGACGAGAAGGCCCCGTCGGCATCCCCGGAGACCCGGTAGGAAGCTGTCTGGGGGTGGGGGGCCATGTCGGCTGCCAGCAGAAAGGCTCCAGCAGCTCCTGGATTTAAGGGCAGTCCCTCTCCACTTATGACTCAGGGGACTTCCTGCAGGGGCTGCCCAGGGTCAGGAGCCAGTGGGGGGGGGGCAGCCGGGGTGCCCAGCCCCTGTGCCCCTGTCACCTGGCAGGCGTCTGCCAGGATGCAGAGCTCAGGGAGCACACGCCCAGGCGCCCCCCAAGCTCTGCCCTCAGGGTGGGTGAGAGGGGCACCTGGCTCGATTGGCACTGGAAGATGGCAGCAAGGACTTGAGGGGCCCTGGGACCCCTGGAGACACCCCCTGGCCTGGTGGGGCAGGGTCACCCCATACTGGAGATGGTGTGTTTGAGCCCCCAGGAGACACCAGGTGAGGAAGAGGCTTGTTCAGCGTTTGGAATCCAGGTGTGAGATCCTGGCTGGAGGCAGATTTGAGAGTGTCAGTGCATGGAAGTTTCCAGAATTCCTGGATGTGACACCTTCCAGATGCCATGCTGGGGGAGGGGACGAGGGGAGGAAAGTGGGGGCTAAGAAAGCAGAGGGCCAGAGCGGGTCTTGGCCTCAGATGGAGCACCGTCCCCAGCACAGGGGAGGGGTCTGCCTTTCTGCCTCGTTGTCAGGAGGTCATGTTGTTCCAGATCAGGGAGGAGCTGTGGCTGTGGGCCTGAGATGACCACCCCCCAAAAGAGCACACGAAGGGGCTGGGTGGGACATGCCCTCCCCACACCCTTCAGGGGACCCCCTCGGGTGGCCTAGACCCTCTCAGCCTGCCCGCTACTCTGTGATGGGGGTCGCTCGCTGGGTGTTTCCGAGTCCTCCCTGCAGGGGACGAGGTGGCTGCCTGGCCTGCAGGAAGGACTCTGAGCTGAGACTGGGGACCTCCCAGTTGGCAGGAGGAGGGGACAGCAGCACTGGTGGGCACAGAGTTCCAAACAGGACAGCAAGGACGAGGACAGCAGCTGCGAGTGGGGGCCAACCGTGGCGGGGCCAGGCCCGGGGCTCTGGTGGGCCCTGGCTTGTGGCTTTGAGTGTTTTGGTGGCTTTTCTTGTGGAGAGAATTTGGAATTGGTATTTTAACACAAAGCGATTTAAAAAGCAGGAAAGAAGAAGCAGCCACAATAGGGTTGCTGAGTCTCCTGACGGTGCCTTAAAAATGCACCTGGGTCCATTCCAGTGTGGGGTGCAGGGGGCGTGAGCCCACTTCCGCGGACCCAGCTCGGTGGGAAACTCTCCTCGCACATAATTCCGAGCCGGGCTCGCTGGGAGCCAGCCACTCCCAGGGTCTGTGGCCGCCTGTGAGCAGAAGAGGCACCAGAGGACCCCGGAGCTGGCGGCACAGAGCCAGAGAATTCTGAGTGTCTGGATCCCCCCTTCTTGGAGGAAAGGGGAGTAGCGTCTCTCAAGTAAAGTAGGCGTAGAAGTTCCCTGGCTTGTAGACACAAGACCCCATAAACGGGCCACCTCACCTGTTTGGGAGAAGTGATTAAATCGGTAACTCTAGCAGAAGAAAGGCTCGCGTGGAAAAATAGTTCTCCTGTCCCCGTGCCCCTCCCCCCCCACAGGGACGGATTCTTACTTTCTTCTAAAATCTAGTTTCTTCTAGAACGCTTTCAGACAAAGCACGGGGTGTGAGAGAGTGCGGGGGTATGCGCGTTGTCTACACAAACAGCATCGCACCACGATGCTTTTTGCCTGATCCACCTGGGGACCGGCCAGGTCAGCCCCCACAGGCTCCGCCTGTAAGCCTGCGGATGCCCCTGTCTAGTCCGTTGTCAACACGTACGCAGGCGGCCTCCAGTATTTTGCTTTACAGAAAAATACTGAAATAGATATCAACGCCCATCTGTCTGTCTCTTAGCTCCTCTGGTCTCTCCATTTGCCCAGTGATCCATCCGTCCATCCATCCGTCCATCTTGAAATACTTGCAAGGCTACATCCAGAATGTAAATTCTTAGTAGCATAATGTCTTGGCCAAATGATGTGTGTATGTGTATGTGTGTGTGTGCGCGTGCGCGTGTGTGTTATTTGCCAAATACTTCTACTTGACCTAGCCCCACTTACGTGCCCCCCAAGAGTGTAAAACGGCTGCTGTGTTCACACCTCTGCCCACAAGAGAGTTTCCACCCCGTCTGGGTGTCTGTGCACCTTGGGAGAGGGCCTTGTGCGCTCGTGCCTTGAGCCACGGTCTATGGGAAAGGCCAAGTGTGGTCTCTCGGGTTTCCAGGCCGACGTGTCCCTGTCTCAGGCTGTTCCTTCAGTGGTTGGTTCTCTGCTGGGTCTGTTTCTGTGCTGAGGTGCAGGAGGCTCCTACCCACAGACCTTTTTCCAAGTTTGCAGTTGCATGTGGCTCCGTCCCAATATCTTGTGGTTCAGGATGTCCCGCTCCTTTACAAGATTCCAAATACCTTCCCGCCTTTATTGTAGTCTTTGCTTTCTCTTTGATGCATCTGGAGGGTCTACCAGGGTTCGAAGCGAGGAGGGCTTGAACTTTTCTGTGAATAGGGAGCCGGTCAGCACAACACCGACCTTTCCTGGCGATGGAGGACACCCATCGGGTGTCAACCTCTCTTCGCTGCATCTTTCTGGAATCCCTGCCCTCTTTCTGCCCCTGTTCTAATGAGGCGTCCTCCCAGGAAGGCCTGCTCCGGCCGCCTGCGACGTTCCCAGGCTCCCCTGCCTTCTTCAGATGGTGTGACTGCTCTACAGGATGGTCAGTGTGGCCAGGACAAGCCGGCCACGATCTGGTCCTTCCCCGTGGCACAATTCAGGAAGTCGTTCGAGGCGCTAGGACGTAAGACACTAAGAGGGGGAAGTGTCGCCGGCGTTTACTCCAGTAGCACCTGCTTGTCCCAGAGTAACTGTCACTGTAAAGCCAGACATCACCAGAGACAGCTGGGGGCGGGGGAGGGTGCTGTGTCCCTCCAGCCCGTGGCCCAGCTGGGGAGGGTCGGCTCTCTGGCCACTTGTTCACCTGAACCCTCCGTGAGGGGTGGGGAGGTTAGGTGGCTGTGGAATCTGGTTTGTCCACACTGGACATCCGCCTTCCCGGCCGCAGCACAGTTTCTGCCCCCAGGGCTGCCCTCCTCCCGACTCCGTTGCAGCCCCACGACTCCAGACCCGCTAGGCAGTTGGCTTCTGCGCCAGGGTGTCCGTGCAGAAGTTTCTGGGAGATGTGTTTTCCCAGAGCAGAGGAGGGATCCAGAAACTGGAGGGAGGGGTACAGTCCCGCTGTAGCCCCTGCCAGGCCTCGCCTCTTGTCCCTGTGGGGGGCACTGCCACCTCCTTGTGCAGACGCCAGCACTGCCCACCAGGAGCAGGGGGGCCCCTCGGGCCGCATCCCAGGAGGCGCCCACCCAGCAGGCCAGCTGCTGAGGCAGCTCTGCAGAAACTGTCCCCAAGCGTGGCCCTCCGCTGTCTGCTGGGTCGCCGTATTCCTGTCTCCTGGGGCCCCGGACACACCTCCCACTGGCCTGGACTCTGCTTCCCATTCTCCCTCCTGGCCCCCATTTCAGGTTCCCAAACCTACCCCTGGGAGCCCCGAGTTGGGGGCTGCTGGTCCTCGTCGGCGAGCAAAGCCCCAGGTTAAGTGAGTGACGCTGACACTGCCTGGGCCCAGAGCTGGACCCTCCTGTGGTCGCAGCAGGAGCCTCCCGGCTGACCTCTGCCTAATGGGACAGGCCAGATACGGGGAGTTGTGCGCCTTTGTGAGAGGGACTAGAGAAGAAAAGCCTCACCAGGAGGCATCAGCCTGACGATGGGGCTGGGAGACGGGCCTCTGAGTCCAGGGTCACGGCTGGCAGGGTCCCCAGGGGCCAGGCGGGCCAGCCGGCTCCGTACGTGGTTTGTGCTCACCGCTTCTTTGGGCCTGGCTGGGTATGTCCCTGAAGTGCTCAGGGGACCAAGACTCTGGACCCAGAAAGGTAGGCAACTGGCCTCCAGGGAGAGGTGTAGACCAAGCAGGCCAGCCGGCATGGGTCTGGGGCCCGGAGGGCTGGGGCGGGGCTGAAAGGGGTCTGACAGATGTATCTTCTTTGCAGGGTGAGGCTGGCCCCGTTGGACCTAAAGGGTACCGAGGCGACGAGGGGCCCCCGGGGCCTGAGGTGAGTAGCCCTCCCTGCCCCGGCCCCAGACTCTAGCCCCTGCAACGGCCCTTAGGACTGGGGAGCGCCCCCAGTCTACACACACACACAAATGTTTTAGTGCATTTCATGGTATCTGTGCCTTTCAGGAAACATGGAAAATGCAGAAAAAAAATAAAACAGAGAATTGAAATCTAAACCATTACCACCCAGAGATAAATAATACAAACATTTTAGCTTATTTCTCTCCAATTTACTTTTCTTATTTCCATATTATGCCTTATAAATTTGGCTTCACAAAGTTTTTTCTTTTTAATTTTGCCATTATGAATGTTTTCTGAAACCCTAAAGATTTTGTAAACCGCGGCTGACGCGTGCTTGCTCAGTCCCGCCCGTGTTGAGTCCCTTTGTCTCTCTGAGCTCTGGGGTTGGAACTCCCGGCCCCGGAGGTAACGGTCAGTAGGCACGTAGTGCCACTTCTGGTCCTGTCCTGGGGGTGCCGTCTGGGTGGGTTACTGGGCAGGAGGTATGGACTCCCCACCATCCCTAGGATGATGGATTTAAAGATCCTTCTTTTAATCATTGCTGTGCTGATGAGTAGAAATGTTGTTTTATTTAACTCGGCCTTCGTTTTCCACAGAGAGGTGTTGTGCGTCCGGGCCTGCACTGCTGGCTGCCTGGATGTCCACTTAACTTTCCCAAAACCCCTCCTCCCCTCCTTAGGGTTCCAGAGGGGCCCCAGGGCCCACGGGACCCCCCGGAGACCCCGGGCTGATGGGCGAAAGGGTGAGTGGTGGTCCCAAGGGCCTGGGTGGGGGTGGTGCCGGGCTGCTGGGGCCTGGGAAGCCATGGTTCGAGTCCTGGGCTTCTACTGGGAAGAGCGTACATGTGGGGCCTGAGGGTCCCAGGTGCAGTGTCTGGAGAGGTGCGTCCTCCACAGGCGACTGTCCCCTCTGTGTCTAGGGGCACCACGGGCGCTGCAGTCACTGTGGTCCTCGTGGTCATGGTGCTCCTCACAGGCACTGCCCCTCCTGCTCCAAAGTCTGGGGACACGCAGGGCAGTCATGGGCAGGGGGATGCCTTCTGGGCTGAAGAAGCCCCTCGGGGCACCATCCCGAGCCCGGCGATTCCCAGTGACAGAACTTGGTCTGCTCTCCACAGGGGGAAGACGGCCCACCCGGAAACGGCACTGAGGGCTTCCCTGGCTTCCCTGTGAGTGCCCCAGACTCCTGTCCTAGCGCCCCCTCTGGCCAGCCGGGTTGGACCCAGGACCATGGGCCGGACCGGGAAGCCGTGGCTGGGATCATCCAGTGGGCACCCCCCACCCCCACCCCAGCCAAATCAGAGCCTGGCCTGACTGTCCCGCCTTCCCCTGCAGGGCTATCCAGGCAGCAGGGGCCCCCCCGGGATAAACGTGAGTACACGCCCACCATCGGGCTCCTGGTGTGTTCACAGGCACGCGCACACATGCGTGACATACACGCACACATTCACACGTGTCCCCAGCACAGGCTTGGAGCCGAGGCCCCTCCCACGTGTGTCTCAGCCCGTGGGTGCCCCTGCCTGGCCCAGGGGTACACCTGGCGACCGGCACTTCCCTCTGGGCTCCCAGGGGCTCAAACCTCGGGGTGTCCTCTGGCTGGCACTCAGCTGCAGGAACATGTGCCTGCTCTGGCGGGTCACTGTGTCTCCTTTATCTTGTCCTTGTAAAACTTCTGCTTCTTAGAAAGGAAATGCAGTGCTGTGACTGACAGTAAATAAGGCTGACTGAAAAGGGAAAGCTGGTGCAGGAGACGGCTGGCCGGAGGCCGGTGCCGGGTGGGAGAGCCCCGGCCGAGGCCCTCACCGGAGTGAAGATGTGGCCCTGCCCCCCGCCCTCCCCGGGAGCCCAGGCCCTCGGCACCCACCCCACCCCTGGGCCAGGGTCCCAGCCACACACGCACACCTGCCCCTCCGGACCCTCTGCCACAGCGACCGCGTGTTCCCCTGTCACCCGCAGGGCACTAAAGGCTACCCGGGCCTCAAGGGGGATGAAGGAGAAGCCGGAGACCCTGGAGAGGACGTGAGTGCAGAGCTCACTGGGGAGGTTGGACAGTCACCGCCGGGGGTTGTAGAGGGAGGCAGCCGTGTGCCGCCAGGGCTGCTGAGGCTCTGAGGGCAGGCGTGGGGCCATCGGGGCACAGTGAACACGGACAGAATGCAGCAGATGGCTAGTCGATGGTGGTTGTGTCTGGTGACACTGTGCTGTTCCCTTCCAGAACAACGACATCGCACCCCCAGGTGTCAAAGGAGCCAAGGGATACCGGGGCCCCGAAGGCCCCCAGGTGAGCGGCTGTGGCCAGCCGGGGTAGGGCACACTGGCGTTCTGAGGCTGCAGAGGGGCAGGGGTGGGAACTGCGGGAGTGGGTCTCCAGGGAAGGGTTCAGGGAGGCTGGCACTTTGACAGCAGGGCTGGGAGGGAACAGGCAATTTCAAGGGTTGTGGGGAGACCAGAGAAGGGGGAGCAGCCTGTCACCAGGTGATGGGTGAAGAGAGTGCAGCAGAGCCCGGGCTGGGTGCCTGGGGGGGTCCCCTGTCCATCAAGGTGGCACAGTCAGACTGGGGCGAACTATCCTCCCGGTGGTGAGTGCCCAGATGGTGAGGGCCATGCCCGGCCCACCTGCTGGCCCCCAGGCAGGGAGTAAGTGCCAGCCAGTGATTACAGAATGATGGCAGTTAGGGACTCTCCACCAGCCCTGAGCACGCAGGCCTTCAGGGGCTCCTAATGGGAAGCGGGTCAGCCCGAAGGCCAGAAGGGTGAGGGTGGGCTTGCTCAGGGCTCCCATCAGACCTGCAGCTCAGGAAGTGATGCGCCCTTATCACTTTTTTCTGGTCCTTCCTCGGACAGGGACCCCCAGGACACACGGGACCACCAGGGCCGGATGTAAGTGGGTGTCTGTGAACGTCCCTGGGGGGCCGACCACTCTGGCTAAGGATCCCGTGGGGTGGGGAGCCATGACGGCAACGGGGGCATGAAATTGTCATGGAGGAACACGGGGTGACCACATATCAGTGACCACTTCAGGTGCCCCTGCTGCGGGGTGCCTAATACTCTGAGTCAGAGCCGCTATCCCAACCCAGTCCCACTGTGGTCCGCGGGGTGGCAACTGGGGGACCAGTTCAGCCCCTGGTGCCTGCGTCTCTTCCCCTCCAGGAATGTGAGATCTTGGACATCATCATGAAAATGTGCTGTGAGTATCTCTCATCTTTGAATAACTGTCTCAGTTGGAAGGAACTAGGTCCCACCGGCCCCAGCGCCCACTGCCGGTGCCCACGGAGGGACCATTTGAGCTGTGGCAGGGAGGGAGACAAACAGGAGGGGTGGGAGTGTGCCCCACCCACAAGAAAGTCCCCAAAGGTGGAGGGCAGGGGCCAAGCCACTGTCACCCCCACCGCCCTTCCCCGGGTGGCCCGAGCGCCAGGCAGAGCAGCCTACCCTGATGAGGGTGGTCCAGGCGGGTGGGGAGCTGGCAGAGGGTTTATGACCTGATTTGTAATACGATGTGGGATCTCGACTGGAATGTAACTCATTTCTCCTCTTTTCCCCAGCTTGCTGTGGTGAGTCATTTGAATGTTTCTTGAGGGTTCCCTGTGGGTGGAGGGCTATGCCCCCTCCTCCCAGTTTATCCTGTAGAGCAGCAGGGGACCTCACCCCCTCACCATGCCACCATGGCCTTGGGGCGCTGGCCTGTCCCTGTCCTCGCCGCAGGGACCCACGCGGCCAGCCACAGGCAGGGGCCAGAAGCCCCGGGGTCCCGGCTGGGGGTGCAGCTCTGCTGAGGGGGGGCCCTGGGAGGCCCCAAGGGCTGACCCCTTCCTTGCCTGCAGAGTGCAAGTGTGGCCCCATCGACATCCTCTTCGTGCTGGACAGCTCGGAGAGCATAGGCCTTCAGAACTTTGAGATCGCCAAGGACTTCATCATCAAGGTCATCGACCGGCTGAGCAGAGACGAGCTGGTCAAGGTGAGTCACACCCGCCCTGGTGCTTCCCAGGGACACCAGGCTGGGAAGGGGTGGGTCCCAGGGCCCTTGTTCCTTAAAAGCTATAACCTCCACCCCCCAGAGTATGAGTGTGGTGG